CCGGCGGAGAGGCGGTGGGCTCACCGGGCAGGGCCCGCGGGACGGCAGAGTCATCCCTCGCTCTGTCTTAACTAGTTGTTATTGTTTATTATTGACTGAGTCCATAATTCTGCAGCGGAAGAAGAGATAGTCGGTGAGGGTTTAGGCATGGGGTGACTGAAAGGTGCTGTGAAGTGCCCACCGAAGTGGGGAAACGCAGGCGCTCTTCTCTGTAAATGTGGACCTCTGTAAACCCAGGGAAATTCTGAGGAAAACGTGTTGTTTTGGAAGGGCTTCGCTCAGTTTAAGTGCTTTCCGATGCCATTAATAAGCAGGGAAGCGAGAGGTGCAGTGTACGGGGCTGAGGGCAGTGTGGGGTTCCACGCGCTGTCCGGAATTCTGCCATAGTCATGGTGGAGGTTGTACAGCAGCCTGGCTCCTCTGTCCACGCAGCATAATTCCTCCTGTGGAATCACTATTGCATAATAATGTGTGGGTTTTTTTCTGATTTGGCATATACTGCCCCCGAACTGGCAGGAGATCATACGGTTTTGGAAGCAGCTCATGCTAAACTGAAAGAAACGTTATTTCAGAATAAGCATGCAAAGGATAATGTACCGGTAACCAATGTCAGCTTGTCTTGCCAATGTCTTGCCAGTAACCAATTTAATTTTCTTTAGCAGGAAATTCTGTGAGCGTTTTATGCCTGTATATTTAAAATAACATGAAAATATTTCCTGATTACTTCAGGAAATACATTTCCTGAATATATCAGCAATATTATTTCCTGAAGTATTCAGGAAATAGAGCAGTAATATTTCCTACACTGCTTGTGTTTTTTTTTTTAAATAAGTTCATATCTCCTCATTTCTGCTCAAAGTTGCTGAGAGTAGATTTGGTAGTGCTAGTGGGCCAGGATTAGCATTGGGGAATGCCTGACCTGCCACGAAGGAAATGTGAGCCTAGCCATGCAGGTGCCTTTGGCACTTGCCTTTCCCTTGTTTTTGTGTACTGGAGGTCTTGCTAATCTTGAAATTAAAAAAAAAATCAACAAAACTTATCTATAGTTAAGGGTGTAAAAGGAGCAGTTTCTTTTGCCGTCCGTCTCCTGTTCCTGTAGTGTGATCAAGGAGGAGAGTGAAGTCGGTAGTGTTTTTTCGACATTCATATGGTGCTGCTGCAGTAAAATGAGTCATCGTTCCTCTCTGCCACCACGCAGCAGCTAGTGTGCGTTTTTGGCAGCAACGAGCAAAAGTTTGCAGGGCACAGTTCTTTCTAATCAACTGCTGTTAGTTCCTTCTGTGTTCAGAAAAACAAGTGAAGCAGCCTCTCTCTAAAAGGCTATAAAACTGCTAATGATTGATGATACTTGATGAGAGAGCATGCAAACCGGAATATCCTTTTTCATGAAGTCACCTTCCCTCCCCGACCCTGCACTGCTGCTCCAGAACCAAGCAAAAACTTACTACTTTTTCCTTCCATCGAGCTAAACAAAATGCTGGCCATTTTGTGTGTCTTGGAGACTTTGTGGTTGTTTATGATTAGGGTTCCTAAATGAATGTAATGGAAGAGACATTTAACAAAGAAATGGAATATTTTTACAGCAGTTAGGAAGATGATGTCTTACCTCTTTAAGGTCTGTAATTAGGCTGAACACCAAAGAGAGTCTTTAACCTCTTTTTTTGTAGTGCTGGGTCATTTCTTGTTGAGATAAATACAATATAGGATGGAGTCATAACATCGGCGTTGTTGTGTCTCCTACAGAGAAGGTTCTGTAGGCTTTGCAATATTTAAAAAAAAGAAGAAAAAAAAAAAAGTGAGGCCAAGCAAAAAGAAGGCCATTAACTGAACATTTTGTAAAGAATACATTTAACAAATGTATCTGAAGGCCAAAGAGGAAAGGAAAAGGTTCTCCAAAACCAGCTTACAATGTCTTTTTTGTTGTTCTCTTGTCCTCCCACTTTCAGAAATAGTAAGGTCTCAGTGAAAAAGGGCGGTGGTGCTCCTGTTTCTGATGCAAGACTCCTTTCTTATGGAGTATATGTCTTTTGTAAGATTTGTCTACAGAACCTTTCAGATCAGATAATCATTCCACCTTTACAGTTTTCAACTCTGGATTATTTCTTAAGAGGATACTAATTGCATAGGCAGGCAACTAGATAGATTGTTGTAAAGATATTTTTCTGCCTGTCTTGTAATGTAATAGCTTTCAAGATCTAAATGATCTTTTTCAACACCACTGGGATTGTTCATTACCCAACAGCTATTGGTGTAAGAATCCTGCAGATTGGTTTGCAAAGTTTACAATAACATCTGTTTTACATATAGCATGGTGTATAAATACTGTTGTGTGTTAAAAGAAATAGGATCAAGTAATACAGTTATGTTGCATTTGTTTTGGGTGAGTATGTACAGGCATGCATTGTATGGTAATGCACGGAATGGTCAGTGAAACCAGCATTTTAGAGCTAGGTATATTTTTTATTATCTTCAGTATGTTTTTTAATTTACTTCTAACTATTTATACAGATTAATGCACTATTGATGTGTTTCCAAAAGAAAATATACTGAAAATTTAACTGTCCTCTTGCCTGAAAGTAATTTTAGAGTTGACATCTGGAACTGAGAAATGGGAAGAAAGTAGTAATTTTTAAATATGATTTTGCACCTGAAATCCTTTGCAGGGTCACATTATTTGGTTCCTTAATAGTTGCATTTGCTGGGTTTGTGCCTGTGCTGGGGTTTTGTGTGTGTTTGGTATGCACTCAGGAGAGGCTGACAGCAGAGAAATTGTCTAAAATACCAGCAAGAATCTTTGTGTGAATATAGAGCTTCAGATTACTTTTAACTCGCTTGCTTTACGTGTTGCGGTTATATTGTTCAGGTTTTTAATATTTCAAATGCTGTGTTCAGCATCCTACAAGAAATTAAGTTATCTGGCAAGCCGGTGTACAAACAGAAGATCTTTAGAATTGAGATAAGGAAATACTACTGTAGTGAAAATCTGAACTGACAGAATTTATTATTTTCTTCCAAGAAAAGTTGTTCTTTGGCCTTTCAAAAATAAATTACCAGCTTTTGACTCTTTCTATAGAACGGCGAATTTGCTGTAACAGCAAGAAAATTATTTTTCCGAGTTTACAAATGCAGAAGTTGCTTCCTTGTGCAAGGTGGTAGCCTGGAAATATTGAGTGCATTTCTGTGATTCTCCAATTTTTCTCAGTGTCTTAGTCTTTGCCGATTGTTCTCTACACAATATTCTGTATATGCTTATTAGCAGAGAGCGAGGAAGAGGATGACAATGATATGGAAGTTGAAGATCAAGATAGCAAAGAAGCTGAAAAACCAAACATCATTAATTTTGATACCAGTTTGCCAACATCACATATGGTATGTTCTTTATATATCATCCATTAAATATGTCTTGAAGAGGTTTTGATTGGTTTTGTGTAATTCTATTGCAGTGTTCTTAAGCCAAGGACCTAATTTTATTTTATCCTTGTGCATCACCAAAACCTCTTATACTACTGTCATTTCCTTACTTACTGTTTCCAGTATTTAGGCTCTGATATGGAAGAGTTTCATGGAAGAACGGTGCATGATGATGACAGCTGTCAGGTGATTCCAGTGTTGCCCCACGTGATGGTGATGTTGATTCCTGGACAGACGTTACCTCTTCAGCTTTTTCGCCCTCAAGAGGTTAGCATGGTGCGGAATTTAATTCAGAAAGACAGAACATTTGCTGTTCTTGCATACAGGTAAAATACACGAGTGGATTTACTGATGGTATGCAGCATGTATTTTTAGCACAATTTCCTTGGATACTAAATCAAAAGCAGATGGTTCCATCAGTTCTGTGGTGAATAACATAAGTTGTGGTTTGAAATTGTCTTCCAATATGTAATGAAAAGGTTTTCATGTCCTATTGGGTAGCTGCATGGCAGTATCACATTTGTATAGAGAAACAGTAAGTGGTGATCTGCTTTCCTTGTTTGAGCATCCTCTTGATTTCAGTAACTGTTTGAATGCAGTGCTTCATTTTGCTTGAACAATAAGCCTTGATCTCAACTGTAAAAATCAGATTCTTGTTTTGAGAACTGTGTTGTTGTAAAGGTATATTTGCTCGTTTTGTGATTAAATTAACAAGCACAGACAAATGTTTCATAATGGAGTTGAGAGACAGGAGGTGATAGAAAAGCAGAAAAGATAAAGGCTAATCTGTGCCAAAAGAAGTTGGGAATATTCCTCCCTCTTCCTCCAACTTACTATGGTTTAAATTTTGTAGGAGGTGGGCACAGTTATTTGTAGAAAGTCAATCTAAAGGTTTTGATACTTTCAGTATCTGCATTTGAAATGCAGATGATCCCTGTGTTCCCAGAATTTCACCTCTAGACCCTAAAATGAAACAAAGTCAACTGGCAAACCCCCCCAACCAAACAAAACGTGAGAAGTGGCTTTTAAAATGGAAAAATAATGATTGCACTTAGTTGAAGGTATTTTGCCCAGTTTACTTTTTTGATCAGACTAATAGTGTACAGTCAGTGCAGGTAGACTAACTCGTGAAATTTGAATGAACAATGCTGTTTGAAGAGTAACTTTTTAAATTCTGTTATTTTTAGTAACGTACGTGAAAGGGAAGCACATTTTGGAACAACAGCAGAAATATATGCCTACAGAGAAGAGCAGGAATATGGAATTGAAACGGTCAAAGTGAAAGCAATAGGAAGACAGAGGTTCAAGGTGCTTGAAATAAGAACCCAGTCAGATGGGTAAGAAAATTATGTATTTAATTTTTCTTACTGCAAATTTTGTGTCACCAAAACATTTACTTTTTACTGCAGGTGTATCTGCCCTTTCAGTCACATAGTTGACTGATTAGTATAGATATTAATCAAATGCTTAATCAGTAGCTTCTCAGTTTATTGAGGACTTCTGGTATTTCCTGTTCTGAGACTCATGTTTTAGTTGTTAATAACTTTGCTATAAAAATCTCTACAGAATGTCTACCTGTAGTTTGATTTAATGTGTGCGAGAAAACATATGTCAGAATGATGTTGTTTCTGAAAATTAACTTGGGAAAAAGATGTTAATTTGTCTGCATTATAAATTCTAAAGCTTTATTTCAAAATCTCTCACATCACTGTTTCAAACCAGATGTGAAATGAGAGGATACGATATCAAGTGTGTGCCTTCTGTTATCTTGTGGAAAGCCTCCCTGATAGCAACCAGATTCTGCTCCTTTGAAAAATTGTAACTTCTATTTCCTGAAAGGAGACCTTTCTAGAGATGGTCTGCATTGGATGTGTTCCACTTCAGAGCTGCAACTGCAGATAAAGTTCTGAACTGCTTGCAGACAAAAGTCTGACACTACAGCTAATAACAATATGCTGTCCTATTTTTATACTTTGCGTGATCTTTAACTACTGAGCCTCAACAGCATACAGAAGGATTCCGCTGCATGATTTCAGATATGGAGAGGACAGTAACTGTGCCAAGAGGGGCGGTGGTTTTCATGAGAAGCTGTCCATGAAAGGGGAGGACTGGAGTCTAGTAATAATAATGGAGAAAGAAGTAGCTTCTCCTGTTAATTTTTCTCTTTGTAAAGCATAAAAGCACACTGAGATTTCTGGATAAATATTTGAATATGAAATAGGTTCTTGATTTTTGCTGACTACAAGCAGCCCGTCATTTTTAGTTTCTCAGATACTAACTCTTGTTTATTTTAACCATTGTCACAGTTTAGTACATCCTTACCTTCAGCAAGTCTTCCCTCTTCCTTTCTGACTATTCACTGACACTTCACTGATAGAAAAGTGCTACTTCAAGTGCTACTTCTCCCGTTATTGGTAGACAATTCTTTTCATGTGCTTGTCAAACACACTCAAATCAGCTTTGATAGGAGTATTCTCTTCTGTATTCTAGTCCTGTTCTTTTCCATATTGCAGTGTGATACCTGTGATATTTAGAGGCTCCTCTTCTAGCCAGTTTTATCATATTATATAATTAATACCCTTGTCCACTTATAAAATTGACTGAGACTAAGGGTTAAGAGTATGAGACACTTGGTTAAGAGTATGCTGAGTCTCCTGTCATTTTCAGGTTCTTCTTGACATCATGCTTTGCACCGTGCATTGCATCCCGAGCCTCTGTCAGTGTCACTGTCACATTGATTCTGTGAGCATGTGACAGTTCTTAACACAATTGCTAGAGATTTTTGTAATCTTTTCTGCAAGGCATATAACATATTACTCCAAATCTGTAAATCTAAAGCTAATCATCTGTATTCTGCTGTTGCTCAGTATCATGGCATTTGCTTTAGAAAGAGGCCTAGGAACAGTCTGAGCTCAGCGGTTTTGTATGCTTTTACGATCTGCAGCTGAAGAAGTTAAGCATATGTGTGCTGCTTGCTCTTTATCACTATCTAGCATGTGGTTACAAATAATATTCCAAATTTTACAGCTTAGAAAAAGCATTACTTGGACACAAGATGGCAGTACTTGGACAACTACAGTAAAAATGGCATTGTTACAGAAAATTCAGTATCCGGAATCAGTTCAGATGTACAGTGATTTTGTTGTGCTGTTAAAGCGTTTTACTACGTTGATTTTATATCTGCGGACTAGCAGAGATGACTTTTACACAGCACATTCACAAGTTTCATTCATAAGTATGAATTCTTAAATGTATGAAATAAAGGAGGGAAAACTGATTTTTGTCATCACGGTAAGCTCTAGATTTGTTGGAATGACTTAAACTATATGGAATTGCTCTGCTTTCAAATACCACACGTTTTGTGGGTTTGCAGAGCGATTAGTGAACTTGAACCTCCTGGTATTGTCAGTGTACCTTGGAGATGTGAGCCTGTGTTCTTCTGGTCATC